TGCGTGAACTTCTTTAAAACCGTAATGATTGTGTAAGGTATAGGACACGATTATCTTTGTGAATACAAAGCAATAATATATAACAAACGATGAAAGTATAGGCATGTTCGCAGATGTCTTGAAAGATTTCAATTCATTTGAAATAGAATCTTTCGTAAATAAATTGCAATTTCTAAATACCTAACCAATCTTTCATCACATTGTCAAATACCACCGAACGGACATTATCAATTTGTGTAAAACGATCATACGACGAAGAAGCGATTCGAACTCATGCGGGTAGACCCCAATGGATTAGCAGTACATCGCCTTAACCACTCGGCCACCTCGTCAACTTCGCTTATACAGATTGTAATTTTTCCTTTTTTTTTTGTCATGTACTCAGATTTTCACATTAAGAAATTTATGTGAAACTGAGTGAACATCTTGACAACCATAATGATTGTGTAAGGTATAGGACACGATTATCTTTCTGTGTATTAGTTCAAAACAAAGATATATAAAAAACAATGAAATATTGGCATGTTCCCAGATGCTCTGAAAGTTTTCAATTAATTTAAGAAAGGATAATTCGTCCAAATATGCCGTTTCCCATTACCCGAAATTTCATCCCATTGTCAAGTAAAACTTAATGCCCAATATCAATTTCTCTAATAGGGCCACTTGACGTGGATGACGTTCGAACATACGCGGAGGAGACCCCAACTGATCAGTCGTCCATTGGTATTACCCCTCGGCCGCCTCATCAATTAAATCTCTTTTTTTTTGCTTTGGCATTTTGTTATTTATTAATTTTGTCGATGCTGAATGAAGTTTTCAATACGTGATAATGACGAACAGAAAATATCAGTACTCTCTTTTTGCGTTTTATCTGTAAGTAAATATATCTAAAAAAATATTTGTGAATAGGTGTCATTGGAGATGTCCTGAAATGTTTCAAATTGTTTTATAATTGTGTCATTTGTCTTAAAACTTTCTAATCATCTGCACAACCTTCCATTTTCAAATACCGCGGAACGACGTAAAATCGATTTCTGAATAAGGACGACACGATTCGAACACACGCGTGTAGACATCAATGGATTAGCAGTCTATTGCCTTCACCATTCGGCCACCTAGTCAACAGTTTTTGTGTGGGATTTGAAACTTTTTTTGCCTTGGCATGTCCTCTGACTTTGACATTTTGGGAATTGTTGCAAAACTGACTGAATTTTTCGAGCCCTGGTGATGACGAAAAGAAAAGATCTCTACTCTCTTTCTCAGTATTATGGCAAAGCAAAGATATTTTTTAAAATTGAATATATGGATATACATCTTCGCAGATATCCTGCACGTTTTTCAATTATTCTAAAATGGAATAATTCCTCAAAACCTTGCAATTCGTAATCTCCTACACAACATTACCTTGTCAAATACTGCCGAATGATGAAAATCGATATTTTTCTTTCTTTCATTATTTCCACCTTTTTTTTTGCATTCATTCATTCTTTTTTCTTTCAACATTTTTAGCATTTATTCCTTCTTTCTTTTTCTTACTTCCACCTTATTTCATTTATTCTTTCTGTCTCTTTTTATTTTCAACTTTTTAGCATTTATTCCTTCTTTCTTTCTTTTTTCCACCTTTTTTGCATTGATTCCTTTTTCTTTCTTTTCTTTTTTCCACCTTTTTGCATTTCGTCTTTTTTCTTTCTTTCTTTTTTCCACCATTTTCGCAATTATTCTTTCTTTCGTTTTTTATTTCAACTTTTTAGCTTTAATTTTTTTCTTTCTCTCTGTTACCATCTTTTTGCATTTATTTTTTGTTCTTTCTTTCTTATTTTCACCTTTTTGCGTTTTTTATTTCTTTCTTTCCTTCTTTTTTTCCACATTTTTGCATTTATTCTTTCTTTCTTTCTTATTTCCAATTTTTTGGCTTTTACTCTGTAAGTCTTTCTATTTCAACATATTTACATTTATTCTTTCTTTCTTATTTCCACCTCCTTTACATTTATTCTTTCTTTCTTTCTACCTTTTTTGCATTTATTCTTTCATGCTTTCTTTCTTTTTCAACCTTTTTTCAATTATGCTTGCTGTTCTTTATTTTCATCCTTTTGCATTTATTCTTTCTTTCTCTCTCTTTTATTATTTCCACCATTTTTTATTTTATTCTTTCTTTCTTTTTCCACCATTTTTGTATTTAGTCTTTCGTTCCTGCTTTTTTCAAACTTTTTGCAATTATGCTTGCTGTCCTTTCTTATTCCCAACCTTTTCCATTTATTCTTTCTTTCTTTCTTTCTTATTTCCACCTTTTTTGCATTTAGTCTTTCTTTCTTTCCTTTCTTATTTTCACCTCCTTTGCATTTATTCTTTCTTTCCGTTTCCACCCTTTTGCATTTATTCATTCTATTCAATCCGTTCTTATTTCCACCTTTTTCTTTCTTTATTATTTCCACCTCTTTAGCATTTATTCTCCCTTTCTTTCTTTCTTTCTTTCTTTTTTCTTTCTTTCTTTCTTTATTATTTCCACCTCTTTAGCATTTATTCTCTCTTTCTTTCTTTCTTTCTTTCTTTTTTCTTTCTTTCTTTCTTTCTTATTCCTACCTTTTTTTGCATTTAATCTTTCTTTCTTATTTCCACCTCTTTAGCATTTATTCTTTCTCTCTTTCTTTCTTTCTTATTCCTACCTTTTTTCATTTAATCTTTCTTTCTTATTTCCACCTCTTTAGTATTTATTCCTTCTTTCTTTCTTTCTTTCTTTCTTATTTCCATCTTTTTTGCATTTAGTCTTTCTTTCTTTCCTTTCTTATTTTCACCTATTTTGCATTTATTCTTTCTTTCCGTTTTCTCCTTTTCTGCATTTATTCTTTCTCTCAATCCTTTCTTATTTGCATATTTTTGCATTTATTACCTTTTTTATTCGTTCTTTTCTTTCTTTCTTTTTCACCTTTCTTACATTTATTCTTTCTTACATTTCCAGTTTTTTCAATTTAATCTTTCTTTCTTCCCTTTTCCACCATTTTTGCATTTATTCTTTCTTTCTTTCTTTTTCCACCTTTTTTGCATTTATTCTTCCTCCCTTTCTTTCTTTTTCTCGCTTTTTTGCATTTATTCTTTCTTTCTTTTCTTTCTTTTTCCACTTTTTTGCGTTTATTCTTTCTTTCTAATTCCACTTTTTGCATACATACTTTCTTTCTGTTTTTCCTTTCATATTTCAACCATTTTTGCAACCTTTTTTCTTTCTTTCTTTTTTCACCTTTTTATCCTTTCTTCTTTCTTTCTTCCTTTCTTTTTCTATCTTTTTCCATTTATTCTTTCTTATCTCCTCATTTTTGCATTTATTCTTTGTGTTTCTTTATCTTTCTACTATATTATTTCCCCTTTCTTTTCCGCATTTTTTTTTCTTTCATCCTTTTTATTTTCCCTTTTTTTTGTTATTATTATTTATTACTTACTTTCTTTCCCATTTATTATTTATTTATTTCGTATTTTCTCCCATATTTTTCCTTTGCTCATTTCTATTTTGATAGTTACCTGAAAAAAAAACATGACACACTGTCCTATGTCCGACATTTCTTACGCCATTCACTTCAAGACAAATAAGTTTTAACGATGATTTTCTTAATGTAAATTTTTTTTCTAGTGTACCGATGCCGTCAAAAATGACAGTTTATTTTATCATGACCTCGTAATATATGGTAGAAATGTTTTTCATTACATATATTTATTTGTTGTTGTATATAGTACTTTCTCATATATGCTTTAACTACTACTACTTGAAATCTTGTAAATAAATGATTATTATTATTATTATTATTGCCTTTTGAGTTTCAGTGTTCAGATGTGATAAAAATTATAAAAATACACATTGATAATTATTATATGATTTGGTTTTTAAATTGGTATTTTTTTCCACAATATCTGATAAAATCATTGTAGTATCGTATGCAAATTAGATAGACAAGTATAAATAGAGAACAACTGACGAACATAGAGGGCTATATCTAGCAAACCCGGTTGCTATTCAGGCACGGATAGCGGCTCGGATTGAGGAATCGAAGATCCGAGTTCGAATTCCAGTCGATTCCATTACATTCTCTTACGTGCTAATACCCTTGAGAAAGGTATGAATCCTCTTCTTCTCACTCCAGGTATGGGTAAATAGCAGGACAGACCGGGTACTATAGCTTTGGATAGAAACTGGTCTACTGCAAAAAGAAATAGCAACCTACTACAGGAAAAAATCTACCTCGTCAGTCATGTATCAAAAGATACATGATCGCCTAAGCGTGTATCACGCATGACACATAACTGATTGACTGACTTTCCAGTCGAATCCATTACATTCACTTACGTGCTAATACCCTTGGGAAAGGTATGAATCCTCTTCTTCTCCCCCAAGCTATGGGTAAGTAGTAGGACAGACCGGGTTCAATAGCGGATCGAATTGATGAATCGGAGAGCCGAGTTCGAATTCCAGTCGAATTACATTCACTTACGTGCTAATACCCTTGGGAAAGGTATGAAACCTCTTCTTCTCCCCCCATAAATTTCAATAAATAAATATGACAGACTGGGTTCTATAGCCTTGGAGGGTAACTCGTCTACCGCAGAAAGAAATGACAACCTACTGCGGGAAAAAAATCTGCCTCGTTAGAAAGATCGCCTAAGAGTGTATCATGCATGACACACAACTGATTCGGGATGCGGAGAACTGTACTATGGCTACTACTACGCATATAGTTATGCAAAATATAACAATACTATTAATTAGTAAGTGATCGTTTGAATAAATTCTATACATCAACATCGTAAGAACTTTGCTGTCTCCGGATTCACGTTTTTTTTTGCTTTGTTTTTTTTTTTTTTGTGGGGTCGACACTTTTCGGGCCGAGAACTACTACGCTATGCGCGCATATTTTTTAATGCAAAAGTTAACAACGCTATATTTAAATGTATTTATTGACATATGCATTTCTAATTCTGGTTTTATTTTCTCTTTCCCTGCTTTTGTTTTTCCCCAGAACCGGCCTAAACGGGTTTTATGTGATATCATATCTATGGTATGCCTTCTTTGCTGTTTTTTGGGTTCTTATTCTTGGCTCCGTTGTTTCTTTGGCCACAGGTGAGTCCAGCCAATATTTATTTGGTATATTTCTGGCCATTTCACGCAAAAGAATTGAAAGTATTTAGAAAGAAAGAATTGGAAAAGAAAGAAAGAATTGGAAAAGAAAGAAAGAATTGGAAGAGAAAGAAAGAAAGAATTGAAAAAGAAAGAAAGAATTGGAAAAGAAGAAAAAAAAGAAAGAATTAGAAAAGAAAAAGAGAACATTGAGAAAAACAGTATAATAAAGAAAAAAAGAGAAGAAAAGAAAACATCGTTACAAAACATAAAATTGTTACAAATTCATCTCTCTTTCTCTCTCTCTCTCTCTCTCTCTCTCTCTCTCTCTCTCTCATTTCCCTTACTTTCATTTTAACTGTTCAGTAACTTTTTTCTATTTTACTTCTCTATTTTTTCTTTTTCTCTTCTTTTCTTTCGTTCTTTCTTCATTACACTGTTTTATCTCACATTTCTCTTTCTTTCTGTCTTTCTAATTCTACATTTTCCCCTCCCACTAACAGCTTTTCCTTCTTTCTCTACCTCGACGCTATCTTATTTCAGACACACTCGTTCTTTTCTGTTCTTCTTTCATTTGCATTTTCTATTTCTTTTCTTGCACTCTTTCTCGTTCTATATTTCTCCCTCTCTCCGTTATTTTTTTTCTCTCTCTTTGCTCTTCTTCTGCCTCACTGATACTTTCTTTCTTTCTTTCTTTCTACATAAACATTTTCTCTTCTTTTTCCCTTTTCATTCTATATTTCTTTCTCTTACTGTTTGTTTCTTTCTCCTTCACTCTTCCTCTCAAACTTTCTCTCTTTCTTTCGCTCCTTCTCTCTCTCTCTCTCTCTCTCTCTCTCTCTCTCTCTCTCTCACTCTCTCTAGCTCTCTTTGCTCTTCTTCTTTTGTCTTACTCGCACTTTCTTTCTTTCTACATTAACATTTTCTCTTCCTTTTCCCTTTCCATTCTATATTTCTTTCTCTTACTATTTGCTTCTCTCTCTCTCTCTCTCTCTCTCTCTCTCTCTCTCTCTCTCTCTTAATACAGCCTGAGGGTTGTTTTATCCATAAATTGAAGAATACAAAAAGGACAGTCTTCTAAAGCAGGGGTTTTCAAACTGTGGCCCGCGGACCACAGGGGGTCTGCAAGGACAAGATAGGGGGGGGGCCGTGGACAGCAAAGACCTTTTTATGGTTGACGTGCAACTTATAAGCGCTTATAAGTAACTTATAGGCCGATCATGAAATAAATTGATCCAATAAACTATTTCATAGATTTGATATACTAATATAATTTGTATCTTAAATTGATAAAGATAATGGATTCTATTCATGCAGAGGAGGAACCAAAGGATTTGAATTTTGGATAAGGGGGTCCCTAAGGTAAAGCCTGAAATATAAAGGGGTCCGCAAGTCAAAAAGTTTGAAAACCCCCGTTCTAAAGTGTACCTTTGTCGTTCAAAATGGCAACTGTTAAAAAAAACAAAGAAAAATTGGCGTTATATAAGCCTATATGTTTCGATAAATAAAAAATAAAGACACTGAAAACTAATTCTGTCCCCAAATAATTGTTAAAATGAATTAAAAGTAACATCTCATGGTGGAGTAATGGTTGACGATCTAGTCTGTTAGTATCGAATAGTGGGTTCGATCTTCACTGGTTATCATACTGATTGAATTATTCTTTTACTTATTTCGAATTTTAGGAGGTCGCTTACAGTACCAAGCGTGACAAACCGCGCCCCACCCCCCATTTAAGTACTGAACGAGCTCGACGTTGCTTAACTTCAGTGACCAAACGTGGACCAGTGTTTCCATCGGGATTTGACCGTAAGCCGGTGCCGTGCACTTAGCAAATAAGACACATCGGTGTAAGTTAATGGCCAATGAGATAATCTGGTTTATCATTAACTTCAATCCTCACTGAATGCCATACGCTTAGCAAATAACAGGGCATTATGATTGAAACTAATTCGATTGTCACTACTGCTGAGCGCCCTTTATTTGTGGCCTTGCGCCAAACTAACCTAAACTACTATTTCTCTCACTCACTCACTCACTCACTCACTCACACACACGATGCGGCGAGTCTCTCACTGCTCTATCGCTACTTCCATGAAAAGTGCTCAGTCTAACTACATTCCTTGGTCCCGTCAGGTCTAACCTTAGCGGCTAGGACCCGCCATGACACTTACATAGTAGCAAACCACTAACATTCCCTTCGTATTTCATCGACGAGAAGTAAGTTTCACTCGAACAGCTTCTTCCCACGAACCACTGCCCCGTGGAACAGATTCCCAAGAGGATGTTTCCCCAATCACTACAGTCTTAAGCAGTTCAGGTCTAGAGTTAACCGTTATCTTCCCCTCCTATCCATATAAATTATCCCTTAACGTAACCCTCTATCTCGAGTGGCCTCCGGGCTTTTACAGAGTGAGTGAACCTTATTGTAAAAAAAAAAATTTAAATAATGGTAAAATGTAGTGATGCATATGTTTCTTTTGATAGTCTTTTATTTTGATTAAATAAAATTATATGATTGTCTTCTTGTTACAGGCCGTACGACATCTTCCAAGAGAAAATATACATTGTGGCGGTACCGGACGATACCGATGCCCCCATTACGCATTGAGCCGTGATTTCACCTTATGTCTGTTCTCGGGTCAAAAAAAAAGAAAAGAAAAAGAGGTAAGTAGTCTTTCAGAACATTCATCTGAAGAAGTCCCAAGAATTCACCAGTCGAAACGTTGTGGTCATAACACAAATAGTCTTAGTCATCACTCACCCACCCCCAGGTAGGTGTTGCGACTCGTCCGTCCGGAAGAAACATCCGCATAGCGAGGGTCTTCTGTTAGTGTGAGTAGCGAAATTGTATGTCACCGGCTTGATTCGACCTGTGGGTACCCATTTGAGTGCCAACCAGACTCAACGTTCCTTAACCAGTGACCGAACAAGGCAGTATATGATTAAATGAATAGTCCTTGGTATGACGATAAACTACATCCGGGAGCAAGGCCTCTGAACGGGAGGTTTTGAGGAGCGTGGAACCACCTCTTGCTGTTGTTCCCAACAGGACATCGCATCTCTTGCGTTTTTCCGAAATTATGGACAGCGAGCTGGAGTTTCATTCTATGAAGTATATATTCCCAAAGGGAAAGGCCACCATGTGTTTGTAAGCAGCTGGGGAGGCACATTTAGCCACAGCCTGGGACAGTAAAAGAAAGCAACCTAACGTGGTGGCTGCTGTAAACGAACTGTATTTGGCTGCCGCATGCGTCACTATAGAGTGACGTCACGAAGCAGCTGTCATGTGACCCACGTGACTTATCAGTGCCTTCTATCTCCCTACATCATAATTTTATGCAATTTTTGTTTAGTCAATTTTTGTTTTGTTCTGGGGGGGTGCTGTTGTTGTTTTCGTTGCTGTTGCTATATAAAAAGATTCTGAAAAGTCAGAATGAATCAGTTATGAATCAGAAAGGAATTCAAAACAATTCTGATTTAGTCGGATTTGGGGGCGGGGTATACGAGCGGATGTTGAAAATTGAAGATTACATTTTTTTTTTAATCTTTCTTGGTTTGGTCAAAATATGAAGATCCATTTTATAAAACTCGATCAAATGGCTAAAAATCAGATTTTTTTAAATCAGATTTTCACTGATATTTGATTTGATTTCTTTGTTTAACGGCATATCAATTCCTCATGGATCATTTAATGCCAAAATCTAATTTTCTAGGGAGCTTTAAAGTAATAAAAATATGATATATGTTATTCTGCTTTCACAACTGAATACATGGTAGATGATACTCAGCTTTTATGTATATACATGTTTGTGTGGATATAATTCCTACAGGCAATGATATGTGTGTTTTATGTTGTAGTTTTGTTGAAGCTGTATTTTAGTGTGAATTCTTTAAGGAATTGTAGGATATTATATGGATTAATGTCATGAAACAGTCCTTTCACATTGATTGATATATTGTTGGTAATATCTTTATATAAAATTTATTGCTGGACATTTTTACTATGAAAATATATTTCTATACTTTCATAGTGTTTTGTATTTATTTGGATGTTCACCATTTGGCCATAGCTGTGACGCTAACAGGTTCTACATTTGCTTGTATCACAAGGCCGAAGGGAGAGAGAGGAAAAAGACTGGTCATCATTAACTATCTCAGTTGCGTCTCTGTCTTCGGGCAGAGGGCGACTCAGTTGCGCCTCTGTCGGATACATCATACTGTGAGGGGCCCAGCCCTGAGGAACAGATGCCCGAGGCCGCACCCTCATTGCTCTAGAGCAGCTATTCTCAACCTTTCCTCCATCATTGACCCCCCTCGGCTTTATGTATTTCTCCATTTACCCCCTACCCCCATACAAAAAAATTCATAGCCATCATAAAGCATTGATATACAATTTCGTGACTAAATGAATGAATGATTTTTTCATTCAAAATACTAAGGGTTTTTTTAGTCAAAATACTGTGCCTAAAAAAAATAAAATACTAAGCGACACTCAAAATACTGATTTCTTATTTAGTACTAATCTACTAATTTTTAGTATAAGTTAGTACTCTGTATAAAATTCAGCATTTTTATTAACGTTTGTAGTCATTAATAAAAAAAATTATTCATTTTATCCGCTGTATTAGTAGATCTACAAATTAATACTAATCATAATCATTCATTCAAAAAAAAATTTTTTTAGTATTTTTGTTTTTGGCAATTCAAAAATTTTTGGAAAATACTAAAAGAAATTTTTTTGAATGAATGATTATGATTAGTACTGACTAATTTGTGACTAAAAATTGTGCAAATTAGTCATTAGTAAAAAATACCAAAACAGAAATAAAAAAAAAAATACTGACAAATACTAAAAATTAGTAAAAATTCAGTATTCTGATCAAAAAATTAGTAATCCATCATTCATTTGTACATTAATGTCATAAAGTGACAGAAAAACAAGAAGGTCAGAAAGAACCTTTTTATTGTTTAGGACTTTAGGTTTTGTATAAAAATAGTATTATACATTGGTATCAAAAAAAGAAGAAAATCAAACGTTTTCTAAATAGAAAATTATGAAGTTAATTTGTATTACAAAAAATAATGAACAGAAACATCAGAAGCATTATCAATGGGAACACCTCTTGATTCATTGAGTCAATCAGTTTGTTTATACGAGGAGCTGTTTCTGATAATCCTACTCTCATATCATCGGCTTTCAGGCGGTTTTTTTTAAATTATCAGGTACTTCAATTATTTACCCCCGACTATATAATTTTTTACCCCCTAGGGGTAAATTTACCCCTGGTTGAGAACATCTGCTCTAGAGAGAGGGATCGATGCTCACACCGAGGCCAGCGCAACCGACGGTTGCAGGGGCTCGGGGTATTTTCGTCCTTGGCCCGAGTGTACGCGCTCGGGTTCCCCACATTAAACCGACCTTGTCTCACATCCGATCTCAGTGGGGAGACCAGGGTAAATATCTACTCCTGGCTAGTTCGATTCACAACCTATTCATTCTAACAATTGATACAATCACCCCAAAAACCTATCACTTTCTATTCAGTTCGTACATGTAGCAAAATCCCGCCTTTTCACACGGGATTTGATAATACAACCATGATGGTAAAACTTTTCTGGATATATATGTACAATTTTTTTTCTTCTTTCTAAAAAAGCGGACACCATGCACCAATGACTTTTCAGTATCTTAGCTTAGTTGCAGTTAATTAAACCAAATCCGGGATGAAACTTACTAATTATTAAATGTAAAGGGTCGGTCCCAAAATTTTTGGCCTATAGTATAATTGGGGAGCGTGAAGTTTTTTTTTTATGGACCTTTTATATTAACTATAAGGAGAAAAGATGTCCGACCAACATTAGGGCTTTCGACCAGATCACGTTGAAACACACGATCACTGAAGTTAAGAAACATCGAGCCTGTTCAGTACTTAGATTGGCGACCGCTTAGAAATACCAGATGATGTACGTTTGGGTGTGCGGATGGTGTAATGGATAATGGTTTGGAATTGTTAATCGG